GGAATCAACTTGATGGTACTGGGTTTGGTTTTTGGTTGATGTGTATCCTATACTCACTAAGGACTCCTTGTGTAGCTTGGTAGGATCAACACTGGACTGTGAACCACAAGGTTAGTAGTTCAAACCCACCTGCTGCTCCTCAGAAGCCATAGGGCTGATATGAGTAGGAATCGACTCAATGACACTTAACAACAACATGTTTGAACAACTAGTCTGTTGGCATTTAAAAACAACAACATACCCACTAAACACATGTCTTTTACCTATTTCTGCCCCAATTCATCTTCCATCTAATCAACCACTTCCTCTTTTCAGAAATACCTTAAGTAATACATAATATTTCTTGGAATTAACACGGTATTTATTGAACTTGTAATATGTGCCAAACATTTTTACAGATATTTTTGCTTGTGATGTCTAATATAATGTAATCCATGCAACCTTATGAATTTATGTTATGATTCTCATTTACAGGTGGGCAAAAACTGGCACTCAGAAAGTGAGGTCTTCAAAGGCTTCAGGGAAAAATAGCAAATCTAGAATATTTTCTGCAGGAACCATTTGGGGGCATTGTAAGACCCTCTCTTCTGATTCTAGTAGTATTCTCCCCCTGTCTGGTTAATAGTCTGTGTGGAATGCTGTTTCAAGCAATTGTTTTGCTCTTGACCTTGTAGATGTTTGTCTTTTGTACCTTGTGCAGTGACTTTTTGGAGACAAGAACATCCCTTCATGGAAGCAATAGACTTTCAAAAAAAAAAAAAAAACGCTGAAATTGGGGCTCTTGCTGGCATTGAGAGAAATGTGGGGAATTTGTGTCATAAATGAAAGTCAGTAAAAGGATAAAGAGAAAACTATTTGCTCCTTTTCAGACACAGCAGAGTTCAGTCTCAATATGACCAAGACTGTGTTTCTGAGTGTATACCCTTTGTTGTTGTTGTCAGTTGCCATTGAGTCAGCTTGTATATAACAGAACAAAATGTGACCCAGTCCTTGCTTCATCTTCATGATTGTTGATGAGGTTGAGTCCATTGGTGTGGCTATCAATGCCAATCTATCTGATTGTATGTTTCCTTCATTTTCTCAAGCTTCTTATTTAACAACTATGATGACTTTTTCTAGGTATTTATCTTACCTGATGATCTGTCTAAAATAAGTTAGTCAAGCTCTCTCCATCCTTGCTTCTAAGAATTTTTCTGCTTGTATTTCTTCCAAAACTGATTTGTTAGTTCTTCTGGCAGTCCAAAGTATATTCAGTATTTTTCAACACATGCGCCCTAGACAAAATAATTTTATTTTATTTTTTTTTACTATTCAAATCCAGGTGTGTTCCCTTCAGTTGGGGCAAAATCTGCAAAATCATCAAAGTCAAAGATCTTGTCTTATGATCCTTTATATCTCTTGATTTCTGGCACACAGTAGCTCTTCAACTTTTGCAGACTTCAATAGTAGCCTCAGTATATTAAATCTAGCTGAAAATGGCAAATAAAATAGTTCTGAAACCAACTGAGGGGAAAGGTGTCTTCACCATCAACAATCAATGCTATCCCATCTGTACATAGGATTGATAGGGACAGGTAACTTAGATGTTGGCTACCTAAAATGGGGGGAGGAGAGTCTGTGAAGGCACAAAATGACTGGATTACAAGTTTTCAAGAGGGAGTTTAGTTTCAGAATGTGCAGTGGAAGGTAGAATTCCCACTGAATAGTTTTCATCTTGTCTAAACAGGTCTAAAAGAGATGGGGACAAGATTCTTATGATTCAATAGTGAGTAATTGTTAACATGACTAATTGTGACTGTCACAATTGTAAAGGTAGAAGATTTGTAACATAAAGGGGGAAGTAGTTAATCTTACATTCCAGGAACAGAGGACCTTAGGAGCATGAGCAGAATGTGGGACCCTATCCAGAGATGCAGCAACACTAGAGATGGAGGCAGAGATGAGGACATGGAGAGATAGATCAGCTGAGGACTCTAGACTCATGAAAAGGGAAAGGCTGTGTGCTGGCAACCAGGTGGCAGGCTTTCAGAATGTGCTCTTTGGTGGTTTATTTTATTATATATTCCTGAGTGCTTTTGTGTTGTTGTTGTTAGGTACCATCAAGTCAGTACCGACTCACAGTGACCCTATGCACAACACAACAAAACAATCCTGGGACAACCTCACAATTGTTGCCACGCTTGAGCCCATTGATGCTGCTGCTTTTCCAATCCAGCTCACTGGAGGTCTTCCTCTTTTTCTCTGACCCTCTACCTTACCAAAATTAATATCTCTCTCCAGTGACTGGTCCCTCCTGACAATATGTTCAAAGTATGAGAGATGAAGTTTGGCCATCCTGGCCTCCAAGAAGCACTCTGGCTGCACTTCTTCCAACACAGATCTGTTGGTTCTTTTGGCAGCCCTTGGCACTTTTAATATTCTCCTCCAAAGCCATAACTCAAAAGCATCAATTCTTCTATGGTCTTCCTTATTCACTGTCCAGCTTTCACATGCATATGTTGTTGTTGTTGTTGTTATGTTCTGTGGAGTCGTTCCAACACATAGCTACTCTGTACAGAGTTTCTGAGGCTGTAAATCTTTACAGGAGCAGAAAAGTCGGAACAACTCCACAGCACATAGCAACAGCAACAACATATGCATGTGAAAGCTGGACAGTGAATAAGGAAGACCTTAGAAGAATTGATATATAAATGAGGTTATTGAAAATACCAAGGGTTGGGGCAAGCGCACCTTAGTCCTCAAGCTGACATCTTTGTCCTTCAACACTTTAAAAAGGTCTTGTGCAGCACATTTGCCTAATGCAATACATCATTTGATTTC